TTATCATGCCAATCATTGAAAAACAGCATTTATTAGATAAACATTCCCTTTGGGCATATCTTTTTGCAAGGTCGGCGGGGGGGCGGTCAGGCTCCAGGCTCACACCCCACAGGGTCGTGGAGGTGCGGAGGGCGCAGACCAGGATGTGGGCTCCTGGGGATGCTGCCGCGCATCTGCGGTGCCATCCTGTGGCTGTGATGCTAAATTAGAGCCTGTTTTCATTTTCTTCTCTCCAGGAAGGCCCTTTTGTCTACTTGTCTTTTGTAGGAAACATTGCAGATTCCAAAGGCTTGATTGCTTCATTGTGTAAGTAATTTTAAAATGTTTGCATTTGGAATGTTTGAGGAGATTAATTGCAAGTATGGCTGCCAATTAAATGAGTCCCTGTCGCACAAATGGTGTGATTTCATTTTTATGAAATGTCCAAAATAGGTGAATCTCTAGAGACAGATGATAGATTTGTGGTTGCCTAGGACTAGAGGGGGGAACAGAGGAGGGGGATGGAGAGTGAGGGGTTTGGGTTTCTTCTGGGGAGTTAATGAAATGTTCTAAAATTTCATTGTGATGATTCAAATCTATGAATATACAAAAAACCCACTGAACTGTACACTTTAAATGGGTGAATTGTATGATGCGTGAATTATATCTCAATAAAGCCGTGTATTAAAAAATATGTTTATACTGCAGATTGAATAGTTTGCAGTATTTGAACTGGGTGCTTTTCCATACTTTTAACATCAACCTTCACTTTATCATATATGCATACGAGGTCTATATATGTGTGTGTATATATGTGTGTGTGTGTATATACATATATATATATATATATGTAGTCTTGAAGATAATTTCCAAAGCTCCTCCAGCTCTGCAGAGGTATTTACTAGTTTTGCCTACCTTCTTCATGCTGCTGTAAATCAGTCAACATTCCATCAGTTAGTATCGACTTCCTCCCACGTACTGTGTCAAATTTGACGAACAGGTGAGCCAGGCAACAACAGGATCCTTCGCCACCATTATAGAATTACCTTATGCAAGGTAACTTCTTTGAGACTTTGCATCAGAAATTCTGCATTGTTTATCTCATTTCTTCCATAATTCTGAAATCACGTCCTTCAGCCAGGACCTGTGTCTGGACTGCTGTTCATCACTAGAGTTAGGAAACTTCGAGAGAATCCAGGCAGCTATCGTTAGTGCTTCTCAAAGCAAAATGTGAGTTGTCTTTGATGCCTGTCCGGTCCCAGCCAGGGGTAGCTCGGGGAGCCTGAGCCCCCACCTCAGGAGGGAAATGTTGCTGTGCACATTCGTGTGTGCAATGTGATGAGTGGGCCGGATTAAACTGTGCCTGAGAGTTGCTGGGGAAGCCCAGGGTTGGAGGACACAGCCTAAGTCATTGTCCTCCACCCTGGCTGCCTGGCCTGGCATCAGAGAAAGTGAACAGCCCAGCTTTGGCCCAGTCCCATGAAATGCAAATGTCTAACATGATCTTTATCAGTCATCTTCAGTTTACATTTTTTGGCCTTAAAAAAAGTAAAAACTCATTTAATGGTGGTGTCCTTTATTCTTGAGAAAACGAAAATCCAGTAGATAATGTAAAGTAGTTCTTCTCGGACTTTAAAGTGCACCAGCTTGCCTTGGACTCTTGTTAAAATACAGATTCTGATTCAGAGGATCTATGGTAAAGCCTCCCAGATGTTGATCTGCGGACCATCCTTTGATTCACCAGGATGTAGAGCTGGGCTATAAACATCACATGGACCCTGTTAAAGAGGAATTATTCATGACACTTGTTCAAGATGATAAGGAAGAATTTATTCAGGAGGTACCCCTACAGTGGAGTCTTGCAGTAGGGAAGCGAGATCGGGCTCAAGTCCAGATGCAACAAGGACAGGTGGAGCTTTATGGCCAAGAAGCTGGTGGGGTCAGTGGATGGAAAATTACTAAGAAGAAACATCGAGTGGAGACTCTTAATAGACCGACTCAACAGGAGTCTTGCTGCAGGCAGGCCAGGATGATAGGATATGATATAGAGGGTGGTGGTTGAGGAATTTGATCAGGTATCAAGAGTAATCAGATATCTGCACCCCCATGTTCATGGTAGCATTATTCATAATAGCCAACGCATGGAAGCAACCTAAGTGTCCATCGACAGGTGAATGGATAAAGAAGTTTGGGGTGTGTGTGCATACACGTGGGCACAATGGAATACTATTTAACCATAAAAAAAAAGCAAGAAATTCTGCCATTGTGACAACATGGTTGGACCTTGAGGGCATTATGCTAAGTGAAACAAGCCAGACAGAGAAAGACAGATATTGTATGATCTCCCTTCTATGTGGAATCTTAATTAAAAAAAAAAACAACTCAAACTCATAGAAAAAGAGATCAGATTTGTGGTTACCAGAGGTGGGGGGGTGGAGATTGAGGGAATTGGTTAAAGGTGACTAAGTACAAACTTGCAGTTACAAGATAGGTAAGTACTGAGGATATAATGTACAATATGATGACTCTAGTTACCACTGCTGTTAAGTTATCAAGAGAATGGATCCAAAGAGTTCTCACCAAAAGGAAGAACACACCGTCTTTTCTTATTTTTTGTATCTATATGAAGAATGTATGTTCACTGAACGCATTGTAATCATTTCATGATGTATGTAGGCCGAGTCATTGTGACGCACATGTTAAACTCATACAGTGCTAGATGTCAATTACATCTCAATAAAACGGGGGGGGGGGTAGTGGTGTAAGGCCTGAAATTAAGATCCAGTATTAGGTATTGACAGCTGATAAAATCCAGAGGGCTTCACATGGACTAACCGCAAGGCCCCTCAGCACTCTGCTTCCTCCTATGAGCCGAACGACCCTCCTTGTCCCAAGGACCAGGCACGGTGCCCGCAGATCCCTGAGGAGCAGGCTTCAGTTCCTTGCCAGCCCCCCGGATTACTGGAAGAAGCCCGTTCCTGCTGCAGGAACCAGGGGCCGCCCCAGCCTCATTGCTGCAGAGTCTGCCTCCTGCCGGCCCTTCCCGGTTCGCTCCGGTTCTGAGTGCAGCCCCCGCATGGCCCGGTGGCGCGCAGTGCCCTCTTTCCCCCGGCTATGAGTGTATGTGACTTGTAAGTTGCCATCAGCCTCGTCCGTCCAGTGCCACCTGTTGTGTGTGGCCACCCCCATAACCCAAGGCTGGGGCTCCCTCCTCACCAACAGCGGGAAGGAGGAAGTGATCACACCTCATCTCCCTCATCTGGCCCAAGTGTCTCTTTCTCTACGTTCCACATTCAGTTGCCGTCACTTACTGTGCAGTTTGACCTCAGAAAGGGAGCCCTAGTGGGCCGCCTGTGTTTCCCATCCTAGTTAAGGCTGCATTCGCCAGGCCCGGCACAGAGCCTTCCTGTGCTCCGGAAGCTTTGCTGAATTAAAGAATGAATGAATGGGGTTATTTTTGCATGTTTAAACACCCACTGATCTCTTAGTTCCTAAAGCACTGACATTTTACATTAGTGATAATTCCTTAGATTTTGGGTGCACTAGAGGGAACATTTCAGATGTATATATGTTTATTTTTTTTTAAGATTTTATTTATTTATTTGAGAGAGAGAGAGAGCACGAGCTGGGTGAGGGGCCGAGGGAGAGGGAGATTCCCCGCGGAGCAGGGAGCCCGATGCGGGGCTCTATCCCAGGACTCTGGGATCATGACCTGAGCCGAAGGCAGAGGCTTAACTGACTGAGCCACCCAGGCGCCCCCGTATATATGTTTAGATTTAGAGGAAAAGCTTACTTTCACTATTATGTTGTTTTCCGGTTAGCTCCTGGCTGGCCGTTGACTCGGGACCGACAGCGCAGCTCTGCCTGGCCCGTCCGTAGTGTCTGGCCTCTCAGAGTCTCTGCTCAGCATGTGTCTGTGTGTTATCTCATTAAATGGCTAATCCTGTTTATTGGCCTTTCTTTCTGCCAGGACAGCCTTCATTAGAACCCTTTGTCCCTGGCCCCGAGGGATCCTAACTTGGGCCATTAATAGAGACTAGAGCTTTGTCCTGCTGCTCCGACCAATCAGATAATGTAGCTGATATTTGATCATTCATGCCTTTTCTAAGTAATGTGAGAACAGTATCAAAGCGAGAAGAGGTGGGACTTTCATTTTTTCACTCTGATCATTTGAGATCTTACGAGCAGCATGTATTACTTTCATAAATTAAAAGAGAGAGGAGAGACGAGGGAGAGAGGAAAAAAGAGGACGAAGGAAGGAAGGGAGGGAGGGAGGGAGGTTCTCCCAGGGCATGACTCTCAGTCCAGCTCTAAAATGACTTTCTCACTTCATTCTTTCTAGAAGAAACCATCCTGATAATAGGGTCTGGAAGGATTTCTTAGGGCACGCCCACTCTCTGGTGACCACAGCAGAGGCTTCTGTGGTGGCTGTTCTTAGTGACTCCTGTCTGCACTGAAATGCCCCGCCCCCGCCCGTGTCCATCCGGGACCCCTTCTGTAGTCCAGGCTGTGTCATTACCATGCCCCCCACCGTCCCCTCGGCACTCAATTTCTCTTCAATTATTAATAAACACTTTTTTAAATAAACGTTTCCTTAATAAAAATTTCCCCACGTCTAGATTATACCTACAGACTTTACGTAGCAATTTTAAAGTAAGGAATTGTAACGCGTTTACCAAGATAATTATTAAGGATCGTCTTTGCAAAATCTGACCGTGCTGAATTAATTTAGAATTCTGCTTACAGTGAAAAGGGCGGGGGCCAAGAGGATGCATGTGTGAAAGTGCTTTGGGAACCAAAATCCTTTTACAAATGTCACGTGACGTTGTTATTATTACTCGTGTCACGTAGCAAATGGGTTTTAGCTTCAGTCCTCCTGTGTTCCACGAGGCATTGTGAAGAATGGGGGGGGGGGGCAGTTCTTCTTTTTATCTCCTCCTTAGGGGAAAAAAAAAGGTCATTTCCACCGACTGTCATAAAAATGGTTGCCAGATGAGTAACAAAATGTATTTCACTTGTAGGGAAAGAATATGGCAAAGCTGATGCAAGATGGCTTTATTTTGACCCAACCATTGTGTCTTTGGAAATTCTGACTGTTGTCCTGGATGGGTCTCTGGCATTAGTCCTCATTTATGCCATAGTCAAAGAGAAGTATTATCGGTAAGTGCCCGCCTCCTGGCCTGCTGAAGAGAGGACACACATGAGCTGTCCCAACGCCCGTGTGGTGTTTGGAGTAGATTATGACCACATTTATTTGTTAGATGAAGAGTAGAGTAGAAATGAAAATTGTTCTGTTAGGGAAGAATCATGGTGCCACCAGGATAATTTCAGATCGTTCAAAATAAAAACTATGAGAAATATGGTTTTAGGAACTACCTAGTCACTGCATAGGCAAGAAAGTGTGAACTGCATTGGATGATTTTTCACCAATATTTTGGAGAATACAAGGGTCATATTTCCATTCTTCCTCCCCCGCCCCACCCAAATCACTCTAGAAAACTTGTGTTCCACCTTACACCAAGTAAATTCTCTTATGTAATTTGGAGTTAGACATGCAAGATAAATCTTTCCAGAAGCAGGTTATGGAAGATGTGAGGAAGGCAGAAGAGAGGGGAGAGGAGAGGGGGGAGGCGATGGAAGATTAACCGCCTGGCGTCAGTCAGACTCTGAGACTTGGAACTCTCGGCCCTCCCTCCTACCCTTTCCCTTCCTCTCCTTTGTTCAGACACAGTGACCTGGGGCAAATAGAATGCTATCCTGGGGATGATTCCCAAAAACAATGTCAAGTAGGCACAATTGCATTCCATTTTCTAGCATCTTGAATGGAAGAGTCTTTTTTTTTTTTTAAAGATTTTATTTATTTATTTGAGAGGGAGAGACTGAGAGAGAGAGCACATGAGAGGGGGGAGGGTCGGGAGGGTCAGAGGGAGAAGCAGACTCCCTGCCGAGCAGGGAGCCCGATGCGGGACTCGATCCCGGAACTCCAGGATCATGACCTGAGCCGAAGGCAGTCGCTTAACCAACTGAGCCACCCAGGCGCCCGGAAGAGTCATTTTTAAAGCTTTAATCACAAAATTTCAGGTTTGAATGGAACCTCCAAGGCCATTTAATCCACCTTTCCCCACTCAATTTTACTTAGATAGCAGGAAAAATTAAATTTCTTCTTGGTATCTTGATATAACTTTGGCTCCATGACCCTCGTTGTAGACTCACTGCCCACTGTATTCTTCAAGGAAGGGACTGTTCTTACTATCCCCTTTTCGGGTAAGATAATATTGTGGCTCTTAGCAAGATTCGCATCTCAGTCTCTTTTGCTGGGCGAGGTGTGACCTCAGTAAATCGTCCTAAGAATAGAACAGGATACCTGAGAGACCTTATTTAACTGAGAATAATCCTCTAGAAAGGGCAGTATTGCTTCTCCAGAGGATGTATGGGTCTTCCACTAATCAGATTGACTTGCCCCATCAAAGGAGCGCTGTGCAAAACCTGAGGTCTGACTTCAGAGAGGTCTTCTGCTGTGGAAGACTGTGTTAATGCTGACATCTAAGACAAGATGTCAGGATTCCGGGTGCCCAGCTGCGCTGAGCTCTTGTTTCTTTCTCTCTAACAGGCATTTCATACAGATTACCCTGTGCGTGTGTGAATTGTATGGGGGGTGGATGACCTTCTTCCCAGACTGGCTTATGGGAGGCCCCAACCTCAACACTGACAACTGGCTCTACTTTGGGGTCTATCTGGTATTTTTCAATAGTGTGTGGGTTCTGATGCCAGGGCTGTTACTGGGGCAGTCATGGGTAGAACTCAAGAAAATGTATTACAGGGGGCACCTGGGTGGCTCAGTTGGTTAAGCGACTGCCTTCGGCTCAGGTCATGATCCTGGAGTCCCGGAATCGAGTCCCGCATCGGGCTCCCTG